CTATTTTTTACTGTAACTTCTTTATTTCTTAAGGGATCAACCTCATACTTCAAATATATGTACCTTATCATCATCCCCATCTTATGTGACAAGGTTCATAACTCTAGCACCAATATTTTCAGATTTATCTCCCCTTGAACTTAGAATTTTCCTTAAAAAATACTAATTTGTACTGTTACTTCTGTATTTCTTAAGGGATCAACCTGATACTTCAAATATACGTACCTTATCATCATCCACATGTTATGTGACAAGGTTCATTACTCTAGCACCAATATTGCAAGAATTATCTCCCCATAAACTTAGATTTTTTACTAGAAAAATGTTATTTTTTACTATAACTTTTTTAGTTTTAAAGGTATGATCTAAATTAAACTTCAAATACTTATTCTTATCATCAATTACATTTTATGTGACAATGTTCATAACTCTTGAAGCAATATTTACAGATTTATCTCTCTTTGAACTTAGGATTTTCTTTAAGAATTATTATAACTTCTTTACTTTTTAAGGTATCTACTTCAAACTTCAAATATATTTCTTATCATTACACACAATCATGTTGTGTGACAAGGTTCATAACTCTAGCATGACTATTTATAGAATTATTCCCCTTGATCTTGGAATTTATGTTAACAAATGTTATTTTTTACTATAACTTAATACATAATTATACATAATTGATTTTTCTTTCATAGTTTTGTCCTCCTTTAATACTGCGTCCAGTATTTTATTAGTCGAGCTTCGCTGTCTCCTGTGACAGCTCTTGTTACTAACTATCTCCACACACTGCCATGTTATTTAAAACCTCTTTATATATAAAGCAATTCATCCATTTACCGTTGTTATTGATCTTTTTTGCTAACCCTCTTTATATGTTTATAAAGCATATTGCTCATTTTGTTATAAATCTTGTGTGCTAACCCTCTTTATAAAGCAATTCATCCATTTAGTTATTGGCGACGCCGGTGAGCGGCGTCGTCTTATATGGAATGCTTTTTATTTTTGCCTATGGAAGGAGCTGTTATTATTAGCAGTTAATTTCATGTTGAGTTAATTAGATTTATTTTGATTCGTAAAAATCAAGTAAACAAATATGTTGTTATATTTGTATTTAATAACTTTATATAAAAAGCATGTGCATTGTGATATTATTTTCACGAAATTGCAGGCTCAGTTTAACAGCTTGTCCCTTAGCTTTATTGGCAATACTAAAACCCGGATTTCGAATATCGTTATGGTCTACATTGATGCCGTATTCTTTTTCATTCATTTATTTATTTTCAAAATTTTCCTACAAGAAGAACGTTCACCTGCAAATGAGTATAAGGATAGGTAATGGAACTGTTGTAAACGATTATCCTGTTGATTTTATCCATATTACGTTTCTCTATTGCACAGAATGATTGTTTTTACAAAGTGTACCGGTATCCGGATGTTGAAAGCTATCCGATTTTCTGCAATAACTGCTGTCACATGGTCATCTATTTTTTTTATGAATACTTAACAATTAATTTGCATGGCTTAATAAAACTGACTGAGCTGCAACATTTCGTAATTTTAATGTTTAGGGTGTTCTTTTGGGTTTCATGTTTTCTCTCTTTTAAGGGGAAGTAACTCATGTTTACTAAATTATTTGTTCTTTTCTGTCTACTCTATCTTTAGTATTACTTTCTATTTTTTGTTTTTTTATGAAATTTACCAGTTGTAAGGTCATCAAAAGCAGAGAGGCCCTGATGAGTGAATATTGATATATATTTTTACTGGCTTGATATACCCTAGACCAGATTTTTCTAGTTTGTTCAGTTGGAACATACCTATAGGTATTCTGCTAGAGGCATCTTCTAATCACTATGTGAAATTATCATTTTCTATGTGTTTGTATATGAATTGTTACTAAAATAACCTTTGGTAAAAATGAAAGGTAGAATATTTAAGCTATACATATAGGTGCTCATTTTAAACACTTGATTACATTATATGGAGTTAGTTATACATTGTATAGTAAAGTCTAATGGAAGGTTAAAAGAGGGACAGTATTTGTTACTGTAAGAGATATGCATTTAATGTTTAGACACTAACACAACTTAATCTGTATGACATGATACAGACTATTTGAGATTATTTTTTACTTTAATATACTAAACAATATCATGTACATTATTTCTTTTACCGCCTCCGTGGTTGACTGGGGTTAGAGTCGATGACTTCTAATCCAGTTACCTCTGGCGTGGGTTCAATCCCCGGGAGATGCTTTGGTAGTTTAGCGCGGAGGAAGGTTGTCTAGTACTGGTGTAACTCTCCAGGAAAGATGGTTAGGAAACTACCCGCCTATATGACTGAAATACTGTTGAAAAAGGCGTAAAATGAAACAAACAAACAAACAAAAACAAAATAGTTTTCTTTCTACAAGATTATGAATTCCTGTTAATAGGATGTTATATTTATTTTTAATGGAACCTGAGAATTATTAATGTAATGTGCATACAAGTGTATCATAGTATATGGATATAATGTGTATTTCTGTATTTAAAGACTTACAGTTATGATGGATAGACTTGCATTTAAATTTATAAATGATAATGCATGTATTGATCAGTCTACAGATTATAGTTCTTTATACCCAGTGTTAGCTGGCTAATAATAGTATCTATAACAGAGTTTATATATTCTACTAGATTTTGAATTCCATCCATTAGTACCAATGTTAATGTTAGGATTTCATATTTATTTAATAGAAACTGGGAATTATTAATGTTATGTGCATACATGTATATCTTAGTATATTGATATGATGACTGATGAGACTTATAATATTTCTGAATTTAAAGAGTTACAGTTATGTCATTATTATTAAAGGGATGAGACTTTCATTTAAAGTTATAAATGATAATACATGTATTGATTGAAAATGTCCTGAAACTTGGATCAAGCAATATAATTGTTAAAGTCTCAAAAAATCATATTTTGAATGGTTATTCTAATTTTTTTCTAACATGTGCATAGATTGAAAAGGACAGCTTCTGTCTTATCTATTTGTAATGGAGGGACACCGGTCTCAATTTCCAAGCTTAGGTCTCTTGAGTCAACCCGGCAACAGACTTTTCATAGAGTAGATTTTTACTTGCCCTTGAATAAATTTGTACACTAAATTTTATAGCGGGTGATTTTTGCCACATGAAAACCAACAAAGTACAAAAAAGTAACCGGGCGCCAGACACAAAGTGGTGTGTTTGTTGCATTTACATGTTTTCGCCCAGTGCCCTTGATGCAAAATACAAATCAGCCTTCATAAAATTTCTTATCATAGAAAAAGGGTTAGTTTTTTATCCGTACAAAAAATAGATATTGTACATGTATTAGCACAGTTATGTTCACTTTCAAATTAACCTGTTATAAATAATGGCACAACCAATAGTTTACTGTCTAAGCCCTTTTTAGTAAAAATAATTATACATAATATATAAATTGTTATTTTAATTTAGACTATGAGTATGTAAGGTTTTTATTTCTCAATTATTAATTAAGAATTAATTATCTGTTAATTTAAAAATCTAAATATCTGTCACGGTTTAGAACTGTTCACTATTTAGGCCAGAAAATGTGTAAGCGGCCAGATAGTTCAATTGCTTACAGCCGCGGTACATTATTCTGTGGGTCACAGGTTTGAGTTCTGGTCAAGCTGAAAGTTTTTCTCATCCAGTGACTGTATATAACCATGAGTTTAATTCACTATGCTCTGTAAACATCAGAAATTCAAGGACATAAACCAATAGAGTCGGGAAATATGTTGTGGTTTAGAACTATTTCATTATTAAGAGAAAATGTGTAGCCGGCCGGATAGCTCAGTTGGTCTTCTGAAAGTCATGGGTTCGAGTCATGGTCAGGCAGTTTAAGTCAGGGTTTAGAAGTGGTTTTTCAACTGACACATGTTTGATTCATTTAATAGATTGTATTTTATTTGAAATGGACAAAGGCAGTATTGCATGATACTTTTAGATCTACAAAAAGCATTTGATACAGTTGATCACACTATACTGCACATGAAGAAGTTCTTTTTCTTCTTCTTCATGGAACTTCAAGCATCTGCCATATGTAATGACATTCTTACATGGTTCAAGTCTTATCTCTGATAGCAGCTGGTTGATGTGGCTGGTACTCCTTCTACTACTGCTCTGAGTACCTATAATGTCCCCCTGATGTTCATTTTAGGTCCTCTTTTATGTCTAATATATGTCAATGACATGTCTGCAACCTAAGCAATAAGCTTTTATTATATGCACAGGCACAAGTATCAGACCTGGGAAGAAAAAATATGACCAGATTGATAAAAAAACTTGTGTTCATCTTAAAATTGTCACAAACCAAAAAAATGTAAACAATGACCCCCTTTAAAATATACTTTAAGTTTATAGTATATTTTTAAAGGGGGTCATTATTTACATTTTTTTTTTTTGGTTTTTGACACTTTTAAGATGAACACAGTTTTTTTATCAATCTGGTCATACTTTTTCTTCCCAGGTCCAATACTCGTGCCTGTGATTATATGATGATGACTCAGGTATCCTTGTATTTGGTAAAATAAATCGTAAGATTAGTTAATTGACTATAAATTGTCTTTGTATCTTGGCAAGACAGAGTCTTTTCTTTTTGGTTTAAGTTTCAACTTAAACTGGGCCTAGCCTCCAGGTCACATGAAATGGTACTGCTATAAAGTACACATCTTTTGTTAAGTATTTAGGTGCAAACCTGGATCAAATTCTTTTGGCGTCGCCCTTTGATGCTTTGCATCAATGCTTTTCTTGTTGATATTTTGTGCTAATCCTCTTTATTGACCTTTTTTTACCAACCCTCTTTGTATATATAAAACACATCATCCATTTAGTTATTTATCATTTTGTGCTAACTCTAAATATGATTTCAAATTATTTAATGTTCTCTTTTACCATCCCTCTTGGTGTATTTTAGTACCATCATACATTATTGAACTTTTTAACCGCCCCTCACATTTCCAATACACAACAAGAGCATCATGTATGTTGGATGTGTCAGCTAGTAACAATATCACTGTGACTGTGCTCAGCTCAGATCAATAGTCCACCGGTTTCTGTTGTTCTTAAAACATGGATGTATAAAAACACTTGAACTTGAGGTAACATTTCTAGTTATTTTTTCCATAATTAAACTCCTGAAAACATTTTATCAAAGACATCAGCTTGACTATAGGGAATTTATTTATTTGCCTGTTTCAAGAAAGAATAGCATGAATAGCTAGCAACATTGTTTTATTCATAATTGTTTACCAGTGGTTGAATCACATATGCTGGGAAAATTGAAAACAGAGCTCTTAATCATATATTGATAAGCTTAGAGAGTTGTTTTATTGCAGTGTTTTGTTTAATGCAGTTAGTTTTACTACAAGATGTTTATTTATTGTTAAAAACCATCTATTAGAAGGATTGTGTTTTTAATGAATGAAAACCATATATTTTTTTATTGGCAGACTTTAAGAAATCTGAATTTTGGTTTTCAGTTATTTTCCAAATTGTGCTGAATTAATAATTAGATAATTATGACCTTGATGTGTACATTGTAATAGTACATTGGAATTAATTATAATTAAAGTGGTTTTAAGATCAAACAATGTAACTATGTCATTGCCAAGAAAACACTATTTTTTAATATATTATATATATACAACTGATTTGATGTACATGTACTAACTTGCATGCATAAATTAAAAAAATTAGAAGATTTTAATGAATTATCATAATTCATTTCTTTTCATTGTGACCTGTTGACTTGATAATTGGATAATTTTTAATATGAGGGTCATCCTTAGTTTTTACCCCATCCACTGTTGTTGTTGAATTAAAAAAAATGTAATTTAAATGCAATTCTTGTTTTGTCCCTGATGAAAATTTTTTGTTTTTTTTTAATCAATTACTGGTAACATTACATTACAATTGTTAATTTCTACTGAAAAATAGACTGTAGATTTATGACTAAAGAAACACAGTGAAGAACAGGGCTACATGTATATAAAACAAAGAAATCTTGACATTAAAGACATCCTAAATCATGTGTATATTGGAGAGGGGGTAGCTTATTAGGTACAAAGGTATCTAAGCTGACAGCTGTTTCTAATGAATGTTGCATGTTGAACTTACATTAACTATTTGACACTGATAGCCAAAGCTTCCCAGTCACTGACTCACACTCATTCTTTGTCTACCTGGCTGTACTATAGTCTATATAATAAAAATGTTATTGTTTCTACTCAACCCAACAATCATATAAATTAGCTGCTTATATTGTAGGCTCTTACTGGTAATGATTGTACAGCCAGGTTCAAGTTTTCCTAAATAGTTTACATGGATGAAATATGATTACAAACTGTTTTAAGTTTTTCTGAAAAACTACACTAATGATTTGGATTATAGACTAGTTCAAGCATTTCTGAAAAGTTACACGCATGATATGTGATTAGAAACTCAGGTTAAAAATTTTCTGTATAGTTACACTAATGATGTGATTACAGACTGGTTCAAGCTTTTCTGTATAGTTACACTAATGATATGTGATTACATACTGGTTCAAGCTTTTCTGGATAGTTACACTAATGATATGTGATTACATACTGGTTCAAGCTTTTCTGGATAGTTACACTAATGATTTGTGATTACAGACTGGTTCAAGCTTGTCTGGATAGTTATACTAATGATATGTGATTACAGACTGGTTCAAGCTTTTCTGTATAGTTACACTAATGATATGTGATTACAGACTGGTTCAAACTTTTCTGGATAGTTACACTAATGATATGTGATTACATACTGGTTCAAGCTTTTCTGGATAGTTACACTAATGATATGTGATTACAGACTGGTTCAAGCTTTTCTGGATAGTTACACTAATGATATGTGATTACAGACTGGTTCAAGCTTTTCTGTATAGTTACACTAATGATATGTGATTACAGACTGGTTCAAGCTTTTCTGGATAGTTACACTAATGATATGTGATTAACAGACTGGTTCAAGCTTTTCTGGATAGTTACACTAATGATATGTGATTACAGACTGGTTCAAGCTTTTCTGTATAGTTACACTAATGATATGTGATTACAGACTGGTTCAAGCTTTTCTGGATAGTTACACTAATGATATGTGATTACAGACTGGTTCAAGCTTTTCTGGATAGTTACACTAATGATATGTGATTACATACTGGTTCAAGCTTTTCTGTATAGTTACACTAATGATATGTGATTACAGACTGGTTCAAGCTTTTCTGGATAGTTACACTAATGATATGTGATTACAGACTGGTTCAAGCTTTTCTGGATAGTTACACTAATGATATGTGATTACAGACTGGTTCAAGCTTTTCTGTATAGTTACACTAATGATATGTGATTACAGACTGGTTCAAGCTTTTCTGGATAGTTACACTAATGATATGTGATTACAGACTGGTTCAAGCTTTTCTGGATAGTTACACTAATGATATGTGATTACATACTGGTTCAAGCTTTTCTGTATAGTTACACTAATGATATGTGATTACAGACTGGTTCAAGCTTTTCTGGATAGTTACACTAATGATATGTGATTACAGACTGGTTCAAGCTTTTCTGGATAGTTACACTAATGATATGTGATTACAGACTGGTTCAAGCTTTTCTGTATAGTTACACTAATGATATGTGATTACATACTGGTTCAAGCTTTTCTGGATAGTTACACTAATGATATGTGATTACAGACTGGTTCAAGCTTTTCCTGATAGTTACACTAATGATATGTGATTACAGACTGGTTCAAGCTTTTCTTGATAGTTACAATAATGATATGTGATTACAGACTGGTTCAAGCTTTTCTTGATAGTTACACTAATGATATGTGATTACAGACTGGTTCAAGCTTTTCTTGATAGTTACACTAATGATATGTGATTACAGACTGGTTCAAGCTTTTCTGGATAGTTACACTAATGATATGTGATTACAGACTGGTTCAAGCTTTTCTGTATAGTTAACTAATGATGTGATTACAGACTGGTTCAAGCTTTTCTGGATAGTTACACTAATGATATGTGATTACAGACTGGTTCAAGCTTTTCTGTATAGTTACACTAATGATATGTGATTACAGACTGGTTCAAGCTTTTCTGGATAGTTACACTAATGATATGTGATTACAGACTGGTTCAAGCTTTTCTTGATAGTTACACTAATGATATGTGGTTACAGACTGGTTCAAGCTTTTCTTGATAGTTACACTAATGATGTGTGTATGTGATTACAGTGAGTCTGGTTCATGCTTTTCTAGATATACATTGTAGTTTAATACAAATGTATATTGATGGAATGTAATAACAGTTTCTGAACAGTTTCATTAAAGACTGGTTCCAAGCATAAATCTGAATAGTTGCATTACAAAACATTGGTATTGATCATATTGGACTGTGAATTAATAGGTTCTTGCATGCATTATTAAATTATTTCTGCTCATGGCTTAACAAAAAAAACCCAAATGAAAGAGAAATTTCTATTTTTATTCTATGATTTAAAGGTTAGCAAGTTTGTATGAAACTTTAATTAGAGTATGAAGCATAATATGTATTAATATGTTATATTATACTGTCACTATTCATTATTGATCATGTAATTAAGTTACAAGAATCATGTAATTGATTATTTTAGATGGAAATCCATAATTTATTGGAGACATTTTATTTTATTTACAGTAACTGTTGTTACAGGGTCAAATATTTTACACACTGAGGATGTATAAAAACAAACTCTGGGCATAGATTCGATGATTTTTAATTAAAAAATTTCAAGCTAAAAACTGGTAAAATAATTATACATCTTATGAATACAATATTAAATAACATATAAAAAACAGAATGTTATCAAACAAAACACATGTATACACAATAAAATTAATGCAGAATAAGAAATACAATAAATAACTTAATGGTACAATTTTTTACCCGCATTTATTTTGTTCTATTTCAGTATAAATTGAAATAAAGTAAACTGGAAAAATCTTAATTAAATAGGAATGTAGAAGATTAAAATAATATTCAACTAGTGAAGGTCAGACTCATAGGAGATGACAGCTAGTAAAAAGTGAGTGGGACAGGAATATTTAAAAGAACCAATGAAAATCTTTCACACATAGAAACATATATAACAGATAAAAACAACTGGACAAATGCAACACAGAAAGAGTGACAAGTGTTCACAATATTATACGTGTGAGCTCAAAATGTGCATCAGTGACAAAGATTGTCTAGTTACTGGAAGTTAAACATACACGGTAATAACTAAACTTTCCGACTATCCAAATAAAATATTTCTGCTTAAACAAAATAATGGAGAGCCATAACTGCAATTAATACTTAATTTCAATTTGTAACACAGTAAATTACTTCTTCCAACTTGCTGAACCCAAAGTGACTAACCTTTGTGTCCAGTATAGAGCAGGCCAGTCTGCACATTTAAGCACTGTGACAGTCCGACCAGGTTCTGTGCTGTTGACAACTCAATATTTGTAATTTTGATACTAAATGAAATGGACTGTTCCAAGTTTAAAGCAGGTCAAGTCCATTAGTCTAACCTCAGCAGGTTAAGGGTTAATTATAATATACATGAAATGATGATAGCTGTCACAAAATAGGTGTATAATCTGAAGCAGCAACAATTTCCTGTAAATTGATCTTTTTCAACTCAAGGTACAAAAGTCAATCTAATTTTATGACATTTTATCAGGGCAATAAAAAGTTTAACATGTGAATGTAAAGTTTTTATACAAACAATTACAGTTCCCAGGCAATTCAGTAATTTAATTCACCAGATAAAGGCATGGAAATTAAGCATGTTAAACTTGCCTGTACAAATTTTACATTTGGAAAACACTTAGAAAGTTACTGCCTCTTTGCAAATGGCCCTTTTATATCTTCACATGTTTGGTGTAATTGTGGCATTATATATTAATGTCTAGTCACTCAACTAATGTTCAGTGGTTAGCTGAAAGCTTAGATTTTATTCTTAGGAATGTTAAATAGTGAATTCTTTAATGCCTACAGCAATTATGTTTTGTGCAGACCTAAATCTGCTCTGCCATGTCATGCACACAGACT